GCACCACGACCTTTCATAAAATTTTGAAGAAAAGGGGTGGATCCCAATTTTGTTTAAAATTTTGAAAGAAAGAAGTTCGAACCTAACGTTGTATAAAGTTAGAATGAAATGGGATGGACCCCAACCTTGTTTAAAATTTTGAAAGAAAGTGGTTGGACTCTGATATTGAATAAAATTTAGAAAGAACTGACCTTATTTTGACAATTTGAAAGGAAGAAATTAGACCTCGACCTTATTTAAAATTTTGAAAGTAAGAGATTGGACCTCAACCATGTATAAAATTTTGAAATGAATGGATAGGTTGAACCTCAACCTTATTTAAAAATTTGAAAGGAAAGATTGGACGCTGACCTTGTACAACATTTCGAATGAAGGGACGCAAACCCCGACCTTATTGTCAAGATCATTATTTGAACATATGAGGTATTTTTAATGGCACTTACACGAGGCAAGGGTGAGGTTCTCTTGCCTGTGGTAAGAATAAGTAGTGTACTCCTAGTAGGATTAAGCCAATTGAATGCCTTTATCTGATTAAAGAAGTGTGAAGTGTTTGGGAGTCTTTCTATACCTAGGAGTTATAACTTGACTGGAGTTGTGAGCTATGGTATTTAGATAAGAATGAAATTTTGGTGGTAGAGTCATATTGGATTAACAACATCGACGGCTTTGTTGAAGGACATGAATACCTCATTGGGGCAACCCCGAAAAGTCTCAACCCAACAGGATCCTCACGACGAGTGCCTTTGCCAAAGTACTTGGGGATATAAGCTGGTACGGGACTGACCAATCATGTGTCTGTAAGTGTTATGTTCTTGATCTAATCGATTTTGAACGCAAATACTTTGAATATAATATTAATACATTCTATTTTTGATCTATCTATTATTTAATTTAAATTAATATTCTATTAAATTAAATAATAGAATCCGAAGATTCAAGTCTTTATAATTTGTTAATCACAAGGAGTTGTAATTGTGGGATAAAAATTACATATGGTTGAATTTTAAGATATCCATGGTCATATGTAATAAAAGATATGGATATCATTATTACGGTTAGATTATCATGTGTGACATTTCTCATTTTTGAAGTAAGTAGTTTATCTTACATGCTAAAATGTGGTAACATTTAAATGGACATGAGAATGTTTTGTTGTGAGAACAAAACATTGTAGACCCGTTGGAAAGATTCCACATTTATAACTATCTGAGTATCAATGGTAAATCTCCAATATTCGGCAGTGAAATTGGTCCTTCAATTTGAGTTCATCATAGTGCTTTATATGGAAACAATTATACATTGGTGATGTTAGATGTTGCTCTGCCAAGAATCATTAATATGGTACACTCGGGTATGTCAAGAATCATATGAAGGTTGTGAATGATCAATAGAAGATTCGTTACTCCCAGATAGTAAGAAATTATGATCTACATTTCACTCAATTAAGTCAATTATAAAAACTTAGCCACGATGTACTCATAAATCAAAAGAGTTTTTGACTTGCATTGACTTAATAGTGAGATGAAAGATATGATCCATAATTGAGATTGACACACTTCATGTCTCGTAATTGATCAAATCATATTAACAAAGTGATTATACGGTAAACGAACAAATTTGATTTTGTTATAATACGTGACATTTTTCGTCACATGTATTGCCTCACTACATTGTTGATGTCAATTTGGGATGACAGATGTGAATTGGTGATAAATTAAAATATTTAATTTATCGATTTGACTAGATCAAAATAATAATTCACGTCGTTAGATATCGTGATTAGAACTTAAAAGATCACACACGAAAGGAGAACTATAATAGGGAGATTTACCAATTAATTATTGACAAGTGTTGTACATGACAATTGATTAATTGAGTTGCTTGTTGATAGACCTAAATTAATTAATTGGATTAGTTAATTTATGGACCAAATTTAATTAATTAAATATTAGATCGAATTAAGTTTAAAAGATGGGACAAGTTCACTTAGACTTCTATTAATAGGCTATTAGGGTTTGAAAGATAATAAAACATCATAATTATATTCTTCCTAGCACAAGAAAATAGAAACCCTAAATCTCTCATTCTTGTTCCCTGTATGGATTTTCATTGGAAGTTGGGACAATTTGACAACTCTGGATTGTAAATCACGATTGTTCGTGTTCAAGATAAGCAAATGTATAATTCCTATCGTAGTTTCTATATAAATACGAAGCAGAACATTGGTGGGAATTAAAATTATTTTTAATTTCACTGTGCATGATTAAGTAAGTTTTCAACAATATCAACCTCATTGGTTCAAGGTCCTTTGATTACGCCCAAAGCGTAACGCTGTTGTTGTAGTATAGTTTTGGGGTGTCGTATCCACAGGGAGATGGAAAATTACTCAAAGGATCAAAAGCTAGAGTTTCATAAAGTATATGAAAATAGCTTATCAATTAGAAAGAAATTTAAATATCAATGTGTAAAGTAGAGAAAAATTGAAATTCCCTCGATCGGTTCGGATCAATCAACGCCATTTACACATTCATATACTCAATTAAAATATTCTTGTCATTAAACTTTAATTGGAAAATATAATATTAAAGCTCAATTTAATTTTACAGTAATTCTAAAATATGGATTTCCTATAACATATACCCACTTTAATATATTGAAAACAGATTCTAAATCCATCTTATACATTAAGCATAAAATCGCAGAGAATCACAACAATAAGATAGTTGGAATTGAAATTCAACAAATAGTTTAATTTTACAATAGATAAAACATAATTAAATCTATCCAAAATATAGCAAATGTTAAACCAATCTCACAACAATGTTTGAAATTGAAATTCAATACATACTTCAATAATTTGATGGAAAGAACATGATTAAGTCCATGAAAATCTAATACATATTAAACCAATCTCAAAACATATTTATAAGAACAAGAAATTCAAACCTAGAATTGTTTAGCAATAAAAATCATATTACATGCATGAGAAACGTTAAAATAACAAGTATCAATCGAGTTCCTCCCTTGCTTATTCAAAGATTTCTAGCCTTCCATGGAGTTTCTTCACCCCAGATGAGAGGCTCGTTCCCCTTTGTTCTGAAGTGTTCTAGGCTTAAGAATCGAGTGAAAACGTGTTGCTATAATTGATGGCGTGAAATCTGGAAACTGCCAATTTTTCTTTCGGGAGATAACTATGCAACCGCATAGTATAAACTCATGAGGTCGCATAGAACAAATTGTGGCATCTAAAACTTCCCTGGACCCTTTTATGCGGTATCATGGTTCACCAATTTTTTCGTCGGATAGTTTTTAGTATTTTAGCCATAACTTTCCCTCCTGATGTCTAATTGAGGTAATTCAAGATGTGTTGAAAAGATAACTCAAAGAGCTACAATTTTACTTCAGACATTATCTTTCAATTCAATCGTTTACCATGTCAAAAATGGTTCTCGACATGAGGCTGAAAATCGATACATAACTTTTACGATTGAGAATTGATTTGTGAAGATGTTATGGTCATATTTCACTTCTTTTGACTTCAAATTACACCTAATTGAGTCCTAAATTTCTTGAATCATCATTCCATCACCCGTCTCATTATGGATTATTTGCAACTTGATCCCTGAACTTTCACTTTCTTTCACTTTGGCCCTTTTTACTCATTTTTTCCAAATTTCACCTTTTCCATCAAATTGCGACCTAAATCAAAACTTAAGAGTAATAAGTGTATTTTGACATTAAATAATCATACGAATACAACAATTAAGAGGGAAAAATATCATATTTTACATTCTTATCATACCCCAGCTTGCTTATTGCTAGTCCCTAGCAATTTAATGCAAAACGAGCAAATGAGTGTTTGATCCATGATACAAATGAAATTATTAAGTTTCAATTTAAGCACATGCCATGTTCCTTTCAAACTCAACATCACAAGAAATTAACAATGTCATGATCATCAAGATATCAAAAGCACTTGTCAAATGTGTGAATGTTTGTCGAGCCGTAGCTTTCTTACTACCAACCTTAGCACATGTAGCATCAAGTATGTCTCAAGCTAAAGGGTCAAGCCCATAACTCACGGATATCAATGTGTTTAGTGTGATTTTCTCTCTATAGGTTATCTTGCTTGAGTACATGTTAACTCTTGTCATTTTCTTGCTTCTATTCTTCACAAATAAGCATTCAATACTTACTCCACACTTGAAAGTAAAAAGCTGAGCGAATACATGGATAGATTATACTCCAATGTGAAGAAGTAGGGATGGCATGATGCATGAAGAAAGATGCTATATATGTGTGTATGGCTCAATGTGGCTTCTAGGGATTGTAATTATTGAAAAAGAATGTGTGAAAGGCTTATATGTTAATCCTAATTGACCTTTATCATTTCCCAAGTAATCCATCATCTTACCACAAACCATATGTTCTCAAAACAGTTTCCAATTCACAAAACCAATGAATGCCTATTGTCCTTTTTTTAACATGTGGTAGCTCTCAATAGTCACCAATTCTCACATAAAAACTTCAACAAGAGACTCATCTAACTACATGTATTAAACCACTGTCGTACCATAAGTTTGTGTGCACAAAAGAGATTTCACAAGTGTCTCAACGTCTAGATTCTCATAAACAACATTAACTCCCAATGGCATGTCTTGTCATTCAAAAGCATGAACATGTAGCAAATGAGGAAATTAAAAAAATTTAACCAATCAACAAAATCAAAGCCAAAATTCCATGAAGTAATGCAATTCACAACAAAATCCATGTGAAAATCTCCCCCAACTAAATATTGCATTGTCCTCAATACAAAAACATGTTTGCTAAATCAAGGTAAGGAAATATGTCACCTGAATACCAAAGTGAATCAACATAAGCTAAAGTAAGAGAAGCATGAAAGTTCTCAGTGGAAAGGTGATGTAGAAAATGAAAATAATCTCAAATGCTGAAAATAATCAAAAACAGCACAAATATCAGCATATTCTCCATTATCATACCTTGAGAGAATTTCAGAATTTAAAGGGTCGGGGTCAATAAACGCATGTGTTTCCTCCTTGACAAGTGCATCAATCATGTATGTTTGATGACACTCATTATCTTCCTCAGGCTGTTTCATGACGTGAAAGATGTTGACGTCTACGGTTATGTTCCCAAAAGATAGCTTCATCAAATCATTCCTGCAATTGATAAGAGTATTAGTTGTAGTAAGAAAAGGTCTACCAAGAATAATGAGAATCTTGGAGTTAACATTCACATCTAATTTTACATCCAAAACTAAAAAATCAACAGGGTAGTAAAATTTATCAATTTGTACTAGCACATTCTCGACTACACCCTTTTTGTTCGTATGGTGGATCAATCAACCAATTGTAAACTTATGGATGTAGGTTTATTTCTCCTAGGCCTAATGACAAGTAAATAGAATAATGCATGATGTTAACACTAGCCCCTAGGTCAAGAAAGGCTTGTGAAATCTCACGGTTCCCGATGACACAAGAAATAGTAGGACAACCAGGGTTCTTATACTTTGGAGGGATCCTTTGCTCAATTACAGCGCTTACATGTTCAGTCAAGAAAGCAGTTTTCTTGACATGGTGTTTCATCTTCACAGTGCACAAGTCTTTTAGGACTTTAGCATAGTGAGAACCTGGGAGATCACATGTAAGAGAGGTAAATTGATCTTTACTTCTTTAAGGTGCTCTAGATTTCACGATGTTGACCAACAGATTTTGAGATGGATATAAGAGCTTGAGGAAAGGGTACCCATGGTGTATTTTTCACTACCTCCTCATTAGGGGTACTCTATTATGAATTGCTAGGCACCTTTTCAATTTTCCTAGGCTTGAGAATTGGTTCTATAACTTTACCAAATCGAGTGGTTATGACATTTACTTCTTTAAAATTGCTTTCTCTTGACTCTGAAGTTTGAGCTATGTTCTGCCATTTTGGATTTGGCTGAGCTTGTGCTGGAAATTTTCCTCGCTCCACTATAGTTAAGGCATTGGTTAATTTGGACATATGATTTTTCATCTCTTTGGTTTCCTCAATGATTTGGGTAATCATAGTCTCAAACTTTTGATTGATTTTACCATGTGCCTCCATAAAAGTGTGTAGAGTGTCTTTTAAAGAGTTCATAGAAGATGTAAGTTCGTATGGAGGTGTAGTGTAGGCTCTATTGGGTTGGAAAGTTTGCTGGTTTTCAGATTTCCAGCTGAAATTGGGGTGATTCTACCACCCTGTGTTATAAGTTTCAGAGTAAGGGGTATAGGACTTTTGATATACGCACAAAGCATTATAGTGTTTCTCATAAAGTCCCCTCATCTCAGCATTTTCAGCTAATACGCTTCCTAGGTGTTAAGCCCTTATAAAAGTAACTCACAACACGCCAACTTTCATATCTATGGTGGGGGCAAAAGGTTTGCAACTCCTTGTATCTCTCCCGGGCTTGGTATAAGCTTTCACTATCCTTTTGGGCAAATGAGGAAATTTGCTTTTTAAGGGCAGTGATCTTATGATGGGGTTAATATTTTTCAAAGAAGCTTTGGGTCATTTCAGCCCAAGTTCCAATAGAATGTGGTTTCAATGAATACAACTAGCTTTTTGCTCGTTCTTTGAGTGAAAATAGGAAAAATTTAAGCCTGATTATATCCATTGTGCCACATTGATTGTGGAAGGTTGTAACCACTTTCTCAATTCCCGAATATGCACGTATGGATTCTCATTTTCAAGTCCGTAAAAAATGGGAAGAAGTTGAATCATTCGCGATTTTTGGTCCATACGTGGCATATTGAGTGGGAACATAATGCAAGATGACGTGAAAGTGTGTGTTAGGTGAAGGTAACCATGTATGGTCCTATAGGGCACATCGCTGTGCTCACTATTGCTCATTGTGTTGTGTAATGTGATGCTCGTGTCTACAGGTGCAGAATCGAAAAGAGGGTTAGAAAGTAATTCAAACTCTAGTTAAGGTCTTGCAATGAATCGCCCTCGCTCTTCTCGATACCTGTTCATAAAGCGCAAAAAATGCAAAAATGTGAGAAATAACAAAATATAACTAAAAATAAATAACAAACTAAAAAGATAAAAGAGGAACGAAGTCACCTTTTTGCTTGAAAATCCTTTAATTATTTTTATCATCTACCTGGCAACGGCCCCAAAATTTAATTACGCCCAAAATATAATGCAGTGGTTGTAGTATAATTTTGGAGTGTCGTATCCACAATGAGATGAAAATTACTCAAAGGATCAAAAGCTAGGGTTTCGTGAAGTGTATGAAAATAGTTTATCAATTAGAATAAAATTTAAATATCGATGTGTGAAGTAGTAAAGCGTCGAAATTCCCTCTATCGGTTCGAATCAATCAGTTAATTACACATTCATATACTCAATTAAAAATTCTTGTCATCAAATTATTTCCTATAACATATAACCACTTTAATATATTGAAATCAGATTCTAAATCCACCTTATACATCAAGCATAAAATCACAGAGAATCACAATAATAAGATAGTTGGAATTAAAATTCAACAAATAATTTAATTTCACAATAGATAAAATATGATTAAATCTATGCAAAATATGGCAAATGTTAAACCAATCTCACAACAATGCTTGAAATTGAAATTCAATACATATTTCAATAATTCGATGGAAAGAACATGATTAAGTCCATGAAAATATAATACATATTAAACCAATCTCAAAACATATTTATAAGAACAAGAAATTCAAACCTAGAATTGTTTAGCAATGAAAATCATATTACATGCATGAGAAACGTTGAAATAACCGATACCAATCGAGTTCCTCCCTTACTTCACCAAAGATTTCTAGCCTTCCATGAAGTTTCTTCACCCAAGATGAGAGAAAATGGTACTAGGTTCGTTCCCCTTCGGTCTGGAGTGTTCTAGGCTTAAGAATCGAGTGAAAATGTGTTACCATAGTTGATGGCGTGAAATCTGGAAACTTCCAATTTTTCTTTTGGGAGATAACTATGCAACCGCATAGTACAAACCTATGCAGCCACATAGAACAAATTGTGGCGCCCAAAACTTTCCTACACCCTTTTACGCGGTCGCATGGTTTACCAATTTTTTGCCAGATAGTTTTTAGTATTTTGGTCATATTTTCCCTCCCCATGTCTGATTGAGGTAATTCAAGATGCTTTGGAAAGATAACTCAAAGAGCTACAACTTTGCTTCATTATCTTCCAATTCGATCATTTACCACGTAAAAAACGAGTCTCAACATGAGGCTAAAAATCGATGCATAACTTTTACAATTGAGAATTGATTTGTGAAGATGTTATGGTCATATTTCACTTCTTTTGACTTCAAATTACACCTAATTGACTCCTAACTTTCTTGAATCATCATTCCATCGCCACTTTCATTATGGATTATTTACAACTTGGTCCCTTGACTTTCACTTTCTTCCACTTTGACCCTTTTTGCTCATTTCTTCCAAATGTCATCTTTTCCATCAAATTGCGACCTAAATCAAAATATAAGAGTAATGAGTGCATTTTGACATCAGATAATCATACGATTGTAACAATTAAGTGAGAAAATATCATATTTTACACTCTTATTATCCTTAATGATGAGACTGCGAAGGCATGGTGTCAGGTACTCAGGCTCTTACCTAGAGGATAATTGGTAATGTTAGTTGGAATAATGAGTCTTGTGAAAAAATGACCAGCGTTCCAAGAAAGACAAAGGCAAGACTCGTGATTACATAAGTAGTATTTCTAAACTTGACGTAGCTGATAACATTATATTGTGAACAATCATGCCATACTATTAAGGAGGGTTTGGAATACTCCCTTACAACACATTCGCAATCGGGGACCATTTTTTGACAGTCTTTTATTCACGTGAGTCCTATGTGCATGTGAGTGTAGGTCAACCAATTGGGCAAACATTTTCTGGTAAAAGAGTTTAATCCTATTGTGAAAGAATTGCCAATAGGTTACAATCATAAACAACACGACTTTAAAGCTCTTTACTAAAGGCAAATCAAAGATGGTGGTTAAGGCTTCACAGAAGAATTGAGTACACTTGACAACTCTTCAAAGCCGAAAAGCCATAGTACTTAGGGCTGGGCATGGTCTGGTTTGGTTCGGTTCAAACGAGAATCGAACATGCCCCAAAATTTTAGGGTATTCAGTAAGTTGAACCATATGTACAAATTTAATTATGGAACAGTTCAGGTTTGATTCTATTTGGTTCAATTTGGTCCAGTCCCATTTGGTTCTCAAATCTTGTACTGTAAATAAATTTTTTAATATTTACAAAACTACATTAATTCAATTAATAATGTGTTCAATCTTAGCTCTTGCAAAATAACGTATTTCAATCTAATGTATCTTTTGTATCTCTCTTTGTTGAGCTCTTCATAGAATTTGATTGTTACTATCACAGGAAGAGGAAGATAGCGAGCTTATAGTAATTAATAGAGATGTTGTTGTGCTTCAGTTTGATTTCACCAAACTAGTAGAAACAATACTACGGTAGAATAATAGTTTACGTAAAAATTAGGTCAATTTTATTAAGTTGAGCTTGAATTAAAAATTAGAAATAGGAAAAATCATATTTTTGGGTTTGAGCTAAATTAACTAGTTAGCAAAAATAATTGGGCTTATTTAAAATTAATTAATTAAAAAATTAAGGAGATTCGGTTTTTCAATTAGCAAATTTATTTTTAAAAAAAATTAATTAGGCTTATTTCTAGATAAGGAACCAAAGAATTGAACCGAACTCATCATTTCTCGATTTTGATATTCGTTCGGATATTTAACTTAAGAAGAACCGCTCAATTTGGTTCAGTTCGACTCGAGTATGGTTCAATCCGGTTCGAGAATTCTGGTGCTGGAATGGTAATGGCAATAGAAAACTTGAACAGGGAAAAAACTATTTGCAACACATTTGAAGTTTTTAAGTTGTATTTCATGTTAAGGGCTTATGGTTTGCAGATCCATCGGTATCTCTCCCCTTGAGTGAATTGTCCAAATCGTCAATAAACTTTGCAAAAGATTTTCAAAGGGTCACTGACCTTTGAAAATCATCTAAATGGTTACTGAACTTTGCAAAATGTTTGTACGGGGTCACTGAACCTTGAAAATCACCTAAATAGTCATTGAACTTTGAAAAATGTTTCCCAATTCAATGACCTATGGGAAATCTTTTGCAAAGTTTAGTGACCTCAATGAAATTTTTTGCAAAGTTCAGTGACTATTTAGATAATTTTTAAAGTTTAGTGACTCCTTGAAAACTTTTTACAGAGTTCAATGATCACGACCCCTTGAAATCTTTTTGCAAAGTTCAGTGACCATTTGGGCAGTTCACTCCTCTCCCCTTCAGTTTGCTAGTAACCAAGGAGGCATTATGGTGATGTTGGTCGATGTGTGCGATGCAATAGGCTGGATTGAGTCAACGACACTAGTGGTGGGAAGATGAACAGTTAGTGCAGGGTGCGGGAGGATGGTTGTGGATAAAGTGGGTTGAAATAGGTAAAATGATTGTTTTCTATTTTCTTAAATCTCTTCTTATTTAGTGCTTGTTTAGTAAGAATTTTGTTAATTGATTTTTTGACCGTTAGAGATAAAGTGAATCCTACCTATTAAAAAAGAATTCAAAAATGACGGCTGAAATAGTAAAATAACGATCAAAAAATTGATTTTAATTGAATTTTAAGCTGTACCAAACATACTCTTATTTTTTAAATATTTATTTATTTAATATTAAAAGCTTGCTTTAAACTACATTAAAGTGAATCCTCTCGTCGCACATTTGTGCTATAATTTAAAAGTTTAGAACTGCACTGCACACTTTTGAAAGATTCGAAAATTCTAATGCACATTTCATGCTAACTTACACCATTGTTCAACTCGATCTCTTCTTTGATGAATTTAATTATTGTACTAGAACTACTTTGCGATGTATACAAGACTTTTCCATATGTTCAGTCTTTTTCTTTCCTCTCTCGTTTTAATTATTGTACTAGAACTACTTTGTGATGTATTCAAGACTTTTCCATAGGTTCAGTCTTTTTCTTTCCTCTCTTTAAACGAGAGAGTGGGGACCAAGTCGAAACGCAAGGGCTAACGACTGAACGTATTCAACCAAAATTTAACTGCATAGTCATCGATGTCAATAACTTAAAAAGCATTTCTTGACTTGCTCTATTATTTCATACAATCAAACCAACACAGATTTATTATAAAGGCTCAATATGGTTCAAGCCCAAACACACCTTCAATGCAGAAACCTTGTTTTTCACTATTCAGAGTCACACTCGTCCCTACCATTATAGTATATTCAGGAGGCAGACTCATCATCATCCCTCCTATATAGTGACTACAGAAACACACACACACACGCACACTTAGCGGTCGAATCAAGCAGTGATCGCTACATAATTATAGGTCTTTTAAGTTTCCTCAGTACTTCAACCATAAATGTTACACGCGCGATTCAGGTGAATTTACAGATAGACTGACTATAGACATTTACTACACATAAGACACATAATTTTGTGAGCCCGAATGTCAAGACAAACCATATATTGATTACAGAAATTCTTCTTCATATAAGTCTATTGAGCATAACCAAAGGTTTTCTCACTGCTGTAACACATGTAAAGGAACCCATCTTCGTCCTTAGATGAATCGTACAGAGTCTCCACCAAACTTGCTGCAGAAAAACAGAATTGTGTAAGTGGACTGCCTCCGATAAAAGGAATCTACTTTAAGAAATATATTGGATATTTTACATGTTTGAGGTAAGGTATTATTCACGAATACAAATAGAGCTTTCCCAGGAGCCAGATGAAGCCTGCCACTCAGGATATAAATGAATTGTCCAACAGACATGTCGCGGGGTACAAGATACCTGTTGCCAAAGAAAATGTAAACAAGATTAAAAGATGTTGAGCACATCTTAATCGCTTAGGGCCTTATTATTAAAATTTAAACTGTAGGAAGGGGTAATTTTAGTAGAATATCAGCAAAATCTAAGTTATCCCAAGGAATAAAACCCCAGAATATGGAATCAAAACCTGTAAAGTGATCCTAAGGAATAAAAATCCAGATGGCATGTAATGGGATTTTTAAAACAAGACAGTGTGATAAAAAGCGAATCAAACAAAGACACTTGCACATAGACAGAGTTCTATAGTAGAGCCTACCAATTTAACTCAAGTAAAAAATTTGAAGCATACATCATAAAAATTATAAATTAGCTCCACCAAAGGAATAATTACCTAACGCCCTAGAACACCTTACTGGCTTGAAATTAACAGTGGATCAAATCAATGCTCTTGAGTTTAGACAGAGAACTCATGTAGAGAGTTAGAAAGCAGTTTCAAAAAGACAGCAGGATTGAGAACAATATCATAACTCCAGGATGCCGCTATATTAGTGACTGATCCGAATGTGATCCAACATACTCACAGTAGAAATATACAAAGGATTATGCTGCAATATGATTCTATTCAAGTAGAGAACACCTTTAAGTAAGTTGTTGCTGCGGAACTAGCATTTCTTTTGTTGTTATTCAGTAATTTGTTTTGACCATTGGGTGGGGCAAGAACACAAAGATTTGCATGTCTTGCATAATTAAAATTAACATTGCAAGACCATGGGGACAAAAACAACTGAAACACCAGGTATGCAATAACTTACTTCTTCTTCTCCATCTCAGGAAGGTCAGTTTTCGAATACCTCTCAACCACCACCTGCAATGAACTCAACAATGGCAATAGTTGCAGTATTCTTGAGAGTAATATCACAAGGTTATCATAGATGGCATTTAAAGAATTTGTCCAATCCAATGTATTTTACTCCATTTTTCGATGGCCATTAAGCATCTATCCTATGTACAAACACCAATTCCAATTACTAATCACGACGTTGTTTAAAACATTATAACCTGAGCATTTGAAACACACAAATGGACACATTAGAAGATCATCAGCTAATATGTCCTTGATTAAAGAGACCAAGTCTTCTTTACTCGATTTCGAGCTCAAGGTGAAAAAGTCGTGTCCAGGTGAAAATAATTGTGTAACTTCAATCTCAATATAAAACAAAAGAATTTTATTTTTCCCAAATTTGGGTAACTTCGGTTGGTCCTCTTGGCATCATCTTCCATTTGCTCTATCACTATCGCTTTTCCTCCAAAGAGTGATTTGAGTAATTAAAGAAATTAAGCAATTTCAACATGCCATAAATAGTTGGGAACAGAAATTTCAAGAAATTAAAATCAAATCTTTCAAATTAATCGGACACTATTTCTTACACAATTCAGTTGGTTCGTCTCCAAGAACAAACATTTCCATATAAATCAGTCCCTAGAACTTATGGCAATATGAAAAAAACTTACAGGTACACGATCTGGATATTTCCCAATGATTTCCTTTGATTCTTCGAGTCTTTCCTCTGCATTATACAATAATTATCATTCTTTCCGCAATTTTGATTATCAGAACAAAAAAACTAAAATCAGAAAAGGGAAGAAATTGTAGAAACCGAAAGAGAATTGTTCTTTGAATGGCTGAGTCTTGGCCCCTCCCATAATTTCCCGATCAAAATTTGCAATCCGCAAGAGAGAGAAAGTCGTAGAAGATTGATTGAATTTGGAATTTTCTAATCAGATAAAGCAATGAAAGACAAAGAATGTGATACAAGAAACTGCACGATGTAATCAGGTTAGATATTATTAAAACGAAAATAAAATGCAAAGCGGGGATAGCTCAGTTGGGAGAGCGTCAGACTGAAGATCTGAAGGTCGCGTGTTCGATCCACGCTCACCGCATTATCTTTTATTGTTTTTGCCCTTCTCTCTGTTATTAATTTTTAGGGGAAACTCCCAAGTTTTCAAAATGTACAATTAGGTCCTATTACTTTTCAAAAAGTACAGTTGGATAGTAGGTCAAAAGCCCATTAGTATTTTTGTTTAAGACGCAATAGTCCGTATATATTTTAGAAGAGTATGATAAGAAAGTCTTATCCACCTTCGTTTCCAATCAAAACAATTAAAAACATATTAATAAAAAATGAAAAGAAAAGAAAATTCTTTAATTTCTCCACCCCCGCCCACCACTACGTCAGCACATTTTTATGTGTGTTATATTTTTTAACATCATTGATATTTAACACGAGTTTATGCGTCATCAACTTTCCTACAAAAATTATTCTTTTATAATTGTAACATATATTTTGTCACAACATTTTTGATAAATTTTATATACAAATTTAGAACAAATATAAATCCATTGAAATTTGAATTCTAATTTTAAAAGAAATGCCACTAAACATTTTTATCTAGTATATTTTTATAATGAATTAATCCTATTAAAAAAGTTAAAATACGATAACAAATGAACAGGTATGAAATTGCAAACATTTTAATTCAATAATTCACCGTTCAACAATTGCACAAAATCACATTAATTTTGCTTCCATTTCAAAAATCAATGCTAGCTTGTCGAAATTAAATCATGTTCGACATGACACCAAATCCAAAAATATCTACATATGATCTTCAAACACTTTCAATGGTAACTTTTTTATAAACAAAATAAACATTTACTATGTCCAACCATTGAAGATCTTTGTGTTTGAATGACTAATCTCGTGACCCATTCCTTTCTTCCATCATTCGAAGTATGGTTTGTTCGAACTCAATCATCTTCTTCTCTTCTTCAAGCCTACCATCTTCCATCTTTTGAAGTAATTCATTATTTTCCCTTGTAAGTTGATCTATCTTCTCGCAAGCATCACGAAGTTCCTCTTGCAAACTAATGATATTAGCATGTCCATCATATGGACTGAAGATGCCAACTTTGTGCAATTTAGGAAGACAAATACCAAGCCCATACAAGCGACCACCCTTACTAGGACCTTGGCTTGTTTAACACCATGCTTCAATGTCTATTTCAGGTCGTGATGAAACATTTGAACCATATTTTTCATGAATTGCATTTTCATTTTTTCCTATAAAACAAATGCAAGTTTCAATAAATAACTATGAACAATATATAATAAAAATTAATTTATTTCAGTTACATACACCATTCATGACTTATTGCCTACAAAGTCTCCTCCCTCTTTCGTCAATGTACATGTTTGAACAATTGTGAAAGAGTAGGTGTCTTGCCTAATTTCTCATACTAGTAGATAAGCAATATAGTCAATGTTTAGTTAAAGAAGATTATTAATTGGCATTCTCTTCACAAAATGAAACATCATGTCATGCATACTAGTAAACAGCTTGTTTAACACATCATACACTTTCATGTTTAATATGAGGATTGCATGCATAGGCAATTCTTCACTAAAATTGCAAGTTCTCGACTTTAGCATAGTACAAAATATGCGTTCATCAGAAATGCAGACCAATGAATTAGGTAAAATAGATCAAAAGCAAACAATAGAATTTGGAAAATTCCAAGTTAAATGCTGAAGAAAATCAGCATAAATTATACCTAAACAAAAATGAAATACTCTAATTTTGGATGCTGTGCACTAGTTCTTGTAGCAAAATATAATGTACTCCAAGCAAAAAATCTATCTAAACCTCCATGTGATCTCCATTAATTTTTATTCCATTTTTCTCTCTCCTATTTTTAACCATACAATTTTTCATAAAATAATATTACATGTAAATCGAAAAATTTTCCTTCTTTTTCAACTACTCATTTAAAAAAAAAAAAAAACCATTATTCCACCCATTTTCATTTCCTCTAAGAACTTATACCTCACATGAAGGAAATAAAATTCCATTATTAAAGGAAGCTGGTTTATATAAAGCTTTTAACTTTCTCAAATAGTAACTTACTGGATAATTAACTGTAAATGAATACAACATGAAATTGGTTTTGGTTTCGATTTCAACTAGACAGAACATGCCGATTTTTCTCGTATTCAGTCCTTATTTTAGTTTCATTTCGAAATGATCATATGCACACATCTAACAAATGGAATTGTAAAATAAATGGACAGAATAATAACTCTTTTAACAGATAGAATAAGATAACTCACAGCATGTCAATCATCTATGAAATTAATTCATAAAATTAAACACTTCCAGCCTTAGCTTGTGGGCAACAATTGTCATTGAGCCAGCAGTGTGCTTAGTAATGGTTCTTGACCTTACAATGAGTCGGTTATCAGGGCCAAGTTTATATTTCTTCTTCCATCTTTCACTGCTCTGATGTTTATCAATTATCTCATTCAAATGCTCTGTACTTAACCATGGTGGTCCATATTCCTTGAAATTTATATTACTTGAAATCTTTCCCACAAGATTTTATTTTTTTGTCAATTGGCACCAAACTAAATGTAGCATAAGGCCCATCTAAATAAGATTTCAAATTAGCACTTACAACATGCCATGCCGAGATAGTAATGAATCTGAAAGCATGAAAATAGAGGCAGGGAACTTAAAGCAGTGAGGGAATTTGGCAGATAGCAGGGAAATTGAAGCAAACAACAATTTTACCATCTTCAAAATGTAACTTGCTGATTTTATTTTATTTTTAAAGCAAACAAATGGCATTTTTTGTCTATGTATCTCCAAACATTTAACTCCAAGTACAAAGTGATTGGGGGAATAATTCACACAACTTGATAGCAATTTCAAAAGGCAAGACCAGGATTTTATCCTCCCACAGGTGATGTGAAATGAATAGAGTATTATTTGACCATTTTGAGTTAAATTATCCAAATTGCTAATTTTGCTTCCTCCCAATTTTAAACTCTCCTAAACTACAACTAAATAAATCACAGCCTCCCATAATTATTATTTATTATTTTTTTTTTTTAATGTAGCTAACACTTGTTACATATAATTTAAACTTATCAGCACCCAAGTTTTGTCTATAAGGTTGCACAGAACACCGGACCTTCTAATCTATACAACTTGTCAAAATGTAAGAGATAAAAATCTGAATTATGTACTTTTACATTGTGATTTTTTCCAAATGCATGAAAAATACCATGAAAAATTCATGAAAGGGTATTCATTTACTTCAATGGTTAAAATAGTTAAGCATAAATCATTAACTACACAAGCAGTACAAAATATACATCCTGTTCAATCAGTTTTAAAATTAGTGAAATCATTTTGCATTCAACACAAACTAAAAAAAAGTTTGGATACATACCTATCATCTCCCACAGTTAAATGAGTTCTTCCAATTTCATCTGGACAACCATTAGGGCATCTCCAACCATGACACCATTGCACCATTTTGCACTATTTTTTTGGTGCAAAGTTGCTCCAACCCAACACCAAACTTTGCACCATTTTGGTGCAAAATGGTGTAAGCGTAAAATATCTCTTTTGTCCTTATTTAATATTTTTCAAATAAATTTGTTGAGGGTATTTATGTCATTTGTGCTATATAGTTTTTAATACAATAAATTATTATTTTTATTTTTATTAATATTAATATTAATATTATATGTATTTAAAATAAATTTTGAATGTAAGACATAATAATTAATAAATTAATTAAAAGACAAAAAAAATTTAAAATATATCAAACACGATTATTTATTAAAGTTAACACGAAATATATTAAATAACAACATGCATACGATAATCTAATTTTATTTAAAAAAAAAAAAAGATATATAATGATACATACATACCCTTGCTCGTCATAAATAAATCAAGGATAAAGAAATTCATATTGCACTTCAAAATGCATTAATCGATCATTTGTGGGATGAACATATGAATTCTGAGAATTAAATTGCAAAAATTTAGCGATTTCGTAATATCGTCTATCCAAATTCGAAATGCATTGTACTATTTTCTGACGGCATGATTTCATATTTTCGTTGTTGTAGTATTTTTATTAATTGTTCTATGTTTTTTATATTTATTAATGAATTTAATCTTTTCCGTAATTATTTATTTAGTAATTTATGTATTTATGAAATAATTAAATAAATAATATTTCAAATAAGTAAATTATAAAGAATAAAAAAAAGGGAAGAAAATGGTTAAATACTGTTTATTTGGTGTAATTTTTGGTGTAATGGTTGGAAATGAATTTTAGTTTGGTACAAGATTTGGTGCAGAATTGGAGATGACGTTAGTACTGTGGTTAAGACCCCTTTTCCTACCAGTAAGTCTATCATTGTCCTTTGAAGAAAGATATATCAACATCCTCAGAACCAGTCTCGATCCAACCATTGTCCTCCTCATCTTGCAACCTGGGAGCCCTAGGCATGGAACTCTATCTTACTCGACGCGACGTCTTTCAATTCAAGTGAATTTCAATTAGGGTTTTGGGAAGGAAAGTGAGACAACGCCGTAGATATTTGCTCTACAAAATGAACGAGTCTTTATATGAGGAAATGTATGTGGTATTTGGTGAAAAATGAGCGGGAAAGACTGAATTTTTTTGGAAGAATTGGGAAGGGTAAAACGAGCGGGAAGTGATTGGAAATTGGCAGTGGAATTGGAAAGAAAAAGTTGAAATTTTGGAAGGGATTTTGGGGGAGACGCTGGCTTTGGCTCAATTCTTTACACATTTATGTTTAATTTTAAGGAAAATATTCCTAGATAAAAATATAAATATGAAATAATAAATTACAATTGGATTAATATGCAAAAATTAATAAATCTTAGATCTAAAATATTAACCTTTTAAAAT